GCATTCCGCGATCGTTCCGCCGCCATCGGCCGCGGGGCCCAGTTCCATAGTTTCCGGACACGGGGCGCCGATCTATCGCGATATATCATAATTGTCAGAAATCTTTTACAAGAAACGATTATTCACAAATTCAAGATGCAATCTTTTCTTTATAGATAATGAAGATTATAGCATCCCTGCCTGGAATATTTTGTAGCATTTTCCATCGGCCGGCCAGTATAGCAACTGCCAACCGCGCGGTTGTGCGGCGCACGGGTTGCTTGAGGGATCAGCCCACGGCGGTGGCATTATCGCGGTCCTCGCGTTAGCCGCTGATAGAAGGCAGATGATGCATCCTAGGAGGATCCGCATCGCGCTGAAAATTATCGCGATAAAATTACTTTGCTTAGTAAATCCGGCAAACGGAAATTGTGTCACAACGATCGATAGCCAAAAGACAGGCAAAAAATTGCAGTCACGCAAAAATATAATACGATCAATCAATTACAATGTAATATAAAGTGATGACAACCGCGAACGGAAGATACCGATTTTACCTCTCATCTTTAGCGCACGAACGAGTAATTTCACGCGTTTACACCGCGTTGCTACGTGAAGAGCGTTTTGTCGAGAGATGCGACGTTCAAAACGAGACTATCGCGAAATGTCATTGCGTGTGCGGTGCGTGCGTGCGTGTTTGTATGCGAACATGAGTGGGAAGAGCAGAGGTGCGCGCGAGGGCAAAATGACCATACTTTCACTGTTTCACTATGGCAATGGCATTGTCCCTGGCGGCAGGGCTTAGAATGACGACATGTGCTCGGAATAAGAATAATGTGTCGTCTATATAAATGCTTCCCGCGTCGCGAAAAGGCCTTTTCTCTTTTTTTTCTTTCTTTCTCCCGTCTCGCGAAATATCTTACCGACACTTTTGAAGATTTGAGTCTTAAAGGCACACAACAACAATTTTTGCAAATTTATCTAGAAAAATTTAAATGATCTACTCTCGCGATATTCTTTGTATCGAATATAAATTACATATGTTTACGATAACATTTGTAACATATCATTGAACACACTGCTCATTTACAATGACAGCATTTAGTGTCTCTTTTCTTTCTATTTGATAAAAAATCCAGAAAATAATTAAACAGCGCGAAGTTTTATCTAATGCTAGTTGAGCTTTCTTCTACAACTTTCCATCGAGAGTTTTATCCCTTGTTATGATGTTTCGTTAATTACCGGCGTCGCGAAATTAATCTAGCGGTTGTCGTTTAACGATGATTCATCTGGTATGCGTTGAAATAATAATTAACACATCTTGTTAGTTGAGATAAGATAATCACGATCTGATATAATGTAGCTTAACTTTCTCACATTAATATATAATTTTTCACATTTTATAAATAACTTGTCGTTTACGGAAGACTCGCGTCCTGAAAGTGATCCCACATTACCGCATTCCGCCTCTCATAAACACACGCGTGAGTACTCTACGCGGAAAGAGTTATTTTCTTTCTCTATTAACGCGCCGCGCGTCGCTGAATCGATTTAACAGTCGAGCGTGAACAAAGGAGCAAGATCGTTATCCGTGACGTTACACTCCCTCCGTAAGATCAATGCTCGCAAGTGCGAATGCGACGTATTCGTTACATAATTGTCTAATTAACGATCATCCGGCAGGGGCGAATTACATCAGAACTTTCTCGCTCGTAGGATTTCGATCTGTTCACGAGGAGACAAACAGCGAAATCTAATCGCATGATAATAATATCGATATTTTTCTTAAGAATGTAGAAAACGATCTTTCTTAATAAGGAGTCGATAAAACGAGTCGTTTCGTGTCCCTGAATTCTAATGCTCTCTAAACTTAAAATATCCGATAGAAATTTAAATATATAAATTTTTATCTTTTCAACAATCTTTATAATTAATTAATTAAATTCAACGAAAGTTGAAGTTGATCCTGGCAGATTTTACTCGCGATTTATGAATCGAAGTAGCCGAGTCTCGTTTAGCACAGAATCCGATTGAATATCGATACTGCGTATATAACAATAACTACATGTCACTACGAGTATCAAAATTTCGGTGCAAAATTCTTAATATACAATGTATTGTCCGATACAATTTTTTTCTAAGATAAATTTCAACGTGAAGGTGCGGTTTCTGGAAGGCACGCGCCAGAAATTCTCGACCGAAAGCCATCAATTGCCATCGTATAAATTCCTGTTACCCGACGTGTCCTTATTATCGGTTACCTCGCGGCGATGACATTCGGTATAGGTATGCCAACAACTTATGCAACGTGGGGTATATTGCATAATTTATATTTCCTTTTTTAATACACGTTCAGCCACTATCAAAGTCTATCAAAATTGTATACCATCGTAAAGAGAAAATTCGTCACAATCTAATGAGACACTTTTATCTTAAATGATATATGTATATATATGTAATGGATTCTATAAAATCTCGTGAAATTTAAATTATACCATTATAATTAAATGGCACATACCGATGCAAGGAGATACATTAAGCTACTTTCGTATAGTAAAGAGAGAGATTACGCGCGTTATTAGTTTCACGTATAAAATTTTCCATATATAATCTCGCTCTTTTATGGATCAGATTATAATATCTTTCCAGGCCCGCGACATTTGTGCAACGCGTTATTACAATTATCTATTTGCCGTGATTTTATACTTTCTTTGCCGGAGATGATGCACTTTCTCCGTCTTCCGTGTCGTTAAATAGTAATAACCAGTTATTACCGTAGTCACTCGTCTTACACACGCATGTTGTACACGCGTTACTCGGAATCTATGTTACGCTACGAGGAATTTTCTACGATATTTCCAATCACGCTATCATTAAGATCGCGCTTATATAATCAAGCGTAGCACGGCAACGTGCGGCGGGGTGGATTTATATTCCTCGTAAAAAAGAAAGTGTCTACTAATACATCATAATCGATCTGCGCCGCGCAGAAATCACGCAATACAAACAACACGAGATCACGTAACGTCGATCGTTCGCGCGATTTTTTTTGGTCACTGGAGCTTGACAAACACACGTTTCAATTAATTTCTCTTTAATACGTTCTATTTTAACTGAAGCAATGACAAAATATCGCAGATACGCTTTTTATTTAATTCTTCTATTATTTTTTCAGGTCTTCATTAAGTGAAAATAGAATTCCACGTGATTCAGGAATGTCACATTGTAAACACCGTGTCCTTTATGATGATCGCAGCTTCCGAGATAGTGAAAGGAAGATACCAAATGCCGTTTTGTTTAACCTTTCGAAGAATGTTTATGCAATCATCGCTTACCAGTCGATCCCGGATCAATGTGTGTATTATGTTCTAATTATGATATATCTGCATATTTTATCAGAGCTTCTAGTTCAAAAACGTACCTTGATATCTTCATGATATGTCGTTCGACAATTATCGTACTCGCTTTATGTCACGTCACTATTTCACAAATTATTTTTTCTCTCGATTCATCACTCCATCCTGTGCATCCCATATCAGAAGCTCGAGTTGAATCGCATCGTCGTCGTCGTCGTCGTCGTTGCCGTCGTTCTTCTCGTCATCGTCGTCGGTCTTATCGCCGCGGAAAGCTCAGCGAGACTGACTCGCGCTCGTCCCGGCTTCGAGGTTCTATGCTGTTACCTAACTCGACCGAAGTCGGAGACCGAATCCGCCAGTGACATGGACATAATCGTTCGCTATTCGTCCAGTTCTCCCTGGAGTGACTAATACCGGGTGCAATCCGTGCCCGGGAAAAACCGTCTTTGCGCCCGTATCTCTCTTTTTTACCCCATATTCTTCACACGCGTAATATCCTAACCGGATATCACGTGCGAATTACGCGAGGCTATCAGTCAGATATACCCGGATCTTCTCTCAGTAAATCTCTAAATTTGTTATCTCTAAATATGTTAAAATTGTAATTGGGAGCTGTACGAAATGTAATAGTATTTTAAACGTTTGTTTGACAGATATTTTTATTCGTGTTTCTATTTTAGGCCAACGGTTCGATATCAGGTCTGTTTGGAAGAACATTAGAAGGTTCAATGCGTTATATTTATAAGGAGATTGCAGTGTCTAATAATCTTTGTTGTAGACTCAGTCCAGATATAGGAACGAAGATATGCGTTTATTTCTCTTGTAATACGACGATCGCATTTAAGAAAGCGTGGATTGCGTACGTCGCGTTTTGTATCCGGCTGGGCACTAACAAAGTATGTGCATATTTTACTTCTTTGCGCATGCAGCTGCGAGGGAGGAAAAAAATCGATATTCCATGCGTGGGATTTCGAAATCTCTAACGCGTAGATCCAATGAGATCATCTACTGTTTGATCCTTTATTTGTGTCGAACTCGATTTAATGTGATTTTATGTGATTGTACGATATCTACTTTTATAGACATTATTCGCATTTTTTAACTAATAATTTTATTTGACGAATTTATTTATTTATTTATTTTTACGTAATATTACTATTGGCCTTTTGCTTACCTCGCTAAGGTTCTCCTTAAAAAAAATTACCGTTGCGACACTTTCATGCAACATCTTTATTACACGAGGAGGACGACTTTCATCGTCGTTCGACCTCCCGAAACACTCGTCCATCAGCGACGATAGTTATTACGACTCTCGTGGGCCAGTGCGTTTCTTCACTGAATTGTTGCATAATTCGGCACCGGACTCGAAGACAAATCCGGCAACGGGAAACGCATAATCGTCCGACAATCATCCAATCTGACGTGAAGAGGCCAGAAACGAAGCATTGTCACATTTTTTATTAAATTATCGTTGCTTGCGTCGCTGCTTCCTGGCATCTTAAAATACCGTGGTCTTAAAAAATTACGAGACTGTCCCAAATTAAATTTGATTGCAATAAAAAATAATAAAGAACTTTTTTATATATTTTTCTAGATATATAAAATAATCTTTTTAACATAGGATCAACAGTACATTAAATAATTATGAATGATATAGTACATTTTTAATTATAATATTTTAAAAAAACTTGATTTTGAAAGTAATATTGATACTATTGAATTTTTTTATTTTAACGAACTGGTTGTTAAAAAGAGTTTGTAACATATTCATTTTTTATAGAAGATTCTTTTTTTTTTTTTTTTTTCTTTAGAATGTCTTTAATGAGTTTAATTTGTTAAATGGAAATGCTCAGAAATGAAAAGCAAATTTATTAAAATTTACACCGAATGATCGCATTTCGTCCGTTTGAATAATTTTGTGTGTTGGAATCTCAACGGTTCCTCTTCTCACGCATCATCTCTTCGTATCCTCTCACGTAAGTTCGGTTTCGAGGAGAGGAACGCGTGCAATGCCCTTTACCTATAACGGTATTGCTAAACCAAAGAGTGTCTCTTCGAAAGGGCGCGCCCATGCCTCTTCGCATAATCTCTCGAGTTAACTACGAATAATAAAGATGACTCACGCACATATGTCCCCGAGTTATCATCGCGTATTGAAACTTTTTATTTAAGAATTCAAGATAATAATTTTAACCTTGTTCTTATATAATTTGAGTATAAAAAAAACACTCTGCATTAATGAATAGTGCATGTTTGAAATTTAAATATTTTCATAAATAATTCGCTTGTTTTTAGATCATCAGAAATTTACATGTGTCATATTCAAGAAAAATCCAAAGTTAAAAGGGCATAAAATTCTAGGAGTCGTTCACGAATTCATATAATACTTGTAACGGTTGTATCGTACTTTCTTTTAGATTCTTTTAGATTTTTTTAGATTGCCTCTGTAAGCAGGCAACTAGTACCGTTTTCTATTAATTTCGACGTGTAAAACGGTACGTCTTTGGATGAGGCAATCGAGGAAGGGAATAGCGAGAGATCCAGCGGACCCTTCTTAGGGCGATGCACTCTCTGACTCACACGTTTCCACAATGATTTCGTTGTTTTTGGTAAAGGCATACAAACGCAGATTTTATCTCAAACTAAACTCGGTCCTCTCGAGATATAACTTACATCGTACAATTTATAAAAGGATAGAAGATGCGAGTCATTCGTTGGACTATATATCGTACACGCATATCTTGTAGCTTTCACATTTAACACATATTGCGGCAAAAAGTACACATCGACTGTCAATATTTAAATTGGAAGCAAATTTCAGTAATAAATTATGTACTGTAAAAATCGTGATAAATGGATCTCGCGTATTTTTGATTTCATAATATACTGAAATAAATTTTGCTATATGGAGCTTTGTAATTAGACAAGTGCGAAGCCACGAAGAACATTTCTCTGTCGCGAAGAACATCTTTGCATATATTAAAAGAACGTGGAGCACTTGTGATGCTTTCTATGGTACTTTTCCTTTTACGTTATATCGTCTGTGAACTTTCCTTCTAAACGATGATGTCGAAGAAAGAGAGAGTGAGATATGAACTTGAACAATCATGAAGAAGTTGGACGGACAATTAGGCGGTGAATATCCAAGTTCTTAATTGAATTACGTAGACTTGCCATTTGGAAAATTTACATTGCCGAGATGAATAAATGTCTGTTTACACTTTCAGAATACCGGAAATCTTCCGTGTCAGAAGGTACGCGAGGAAAAACTGGAAACTCACTACCGGTATTGCGTTTATGGCGCGATAAATTTCATCGTCGACGACGGCTTCGTCGCTCTGTATGTGGAAGAGAAATTTCCATCTTGTCACAAACTTGTGGAAATGAAAATCATTTCTTCCAGTACCGCGAATGCATTCTTCTGTAACATCCGTGACATAATTTCCATCGTCATTATCGCGAGGTGATAATCCGCCTCGAGGCATGACGAGGACGAATCGTCGAGCGTACGCACGCGATCAAACTATGAGAGAATTGATTATACGAGTGTATAAAATTATCTTCAAGATTACCGGGAAATGATGAGATAAACTTTCCAATTGAGAAAATCAAGCTCTCTCGTTTCTCATATGTAACTTTAAAAAAGTTTCGTCCCATACATTATATAATGAGTTTAAACAAAATTAATTCTACAGCAAATATTAATTAAATTCTTTGAAATTAATTCTTTAGCTGAAAACAGAATCGTAGATTGATAATATATCGCGGAAAATCCGCGCGATAAATGCTTTTCTCGATCAGCGGAATTTGTTTTCACTTTCATACTCTGAGAGACGGCTGCTGCTGCTGCTGCTGCTGCTGCTGCTGCTGCTGCTGCTACTGTTGCTGAGAAGAACGGCAAAAAAGACGAGAGAAAGTCGTCCGGCGTTCGAATCCTTTTCGCGCGCGTCTCAATCGTTGTAAGTCTCGCGATTACGCAAGTCGCGCGTAATCGGCACAGGTGATTGATGATCCACGCGCCTGTCCAGGACACTTTGAGGAGCTAGAACTCCGATGAGCGATCTGTTGGCCTATCGAAAGTTGGAAATGATTGGCTTTCAATAACGCGCGTCAACATTTTCCGCGATGAAAGCTGCGATGATGTTTTGTGTCCAGTTCTTCCGCGAAGATTTCATTTAAAATGTTCAATTTAATGTCATTTGTATCCACGTGTGTGTGTATGTGTATGTGTGTGTGGTATAAGTTAAATAAATTAATATTCCATCGATTTCGCTTTTGACGAATTGTCGAAAAAATTGCACGCACAATCCGATCTCCGTATAAATGAAAATATAAAAATCTTATCACGTATAAGTACTTCATTTCGAGAAAGAGTTGGGAAACGATAGATGCCTAATTCGTTTGCGCTGCCCTTGTCCCCTTTCGCAAATGTATCTTGCGCCACGAAGAACAAGCGCGTGATCCGCATAAATAATCGTCGATTAAATATCTACGTGTGCTAACACACGACTCTATAATAATAGAAGCCGATACTTACAAGGCCGAAGATAATGTTAAATAAAAATTGTATTTATTATATTTATACCCGCATTCGAATAATCTGATATTTATTATTTTGCAGAATAATTTAATTATTTGCTTCGCGCGCGAATAAATCTGCATCATATATTTTTTCGTGCTCTGCAACGGCGGTATTAATTGTAGAATATGCATCGATCAGAGCGCGGAGCGGGAACGTCAACTGAGATCGCTGCAACTAGAGATAGAGACGGTACAGAGGCAGTTCAAGGCCGCGTCGATGGACCGCGAGAACGCGATCCAGGAGAACCGGAAGCTGCAGGACGATCTGGCAGCGATGACCTGCGAGGTGCAGAATCTTCAACGCGAGCTGGAGACCTCGCGCGCCGAGTGCTACGATCTCAAAAGACAGCTGCAGACTTATGTCAGCGAAGTACGTCGCGCCGAGGAACTCCTCAATCGAAAGGTAAAATTCAGAGATATTTTCATTGATATAATAAATACTTGTCTCGAACGTTGATCATCTTCACCTTTCAGGAGAACGAGAGAACGGAAATGCTGAACCATTTTCGCAGTCTCAGCTTAGAGGCGACGGTCTTGGAGAACAGCAATCACAGCTTAGAATCCGAGGCGGCGGAAGCTAAAGGCGCCCTTCAAAACGCGAGACATCAAATAGCCGATCTGGAGCGTCTATTGACCGACAGGGACTGTTTGATAAAAGGCTATGAGACTCAGGTATTTTTCTTTTCTCATAGTGGATGCGAGGAATCATTGGTATTTATCATACTAAAATAATGCACAGCTGAAAATAAGTAAATTCAAGTCAAGACTATATAATAAGGAATACGATTAATTCTTAAGTTGTAAAGATCTCCTCCCCTCTCCCCCTCCCTCATATCTGATGATTTAACAATTTTTCCAGATAAGCAATTTAACGCAAAGCGTCGCTAGCATGGAGACGCAGCTGCGACAACAGATCGAACAGAGACACCGTGCTGAAACCGATCTATTGGCGGTCAGGGATCTATGCGTGAAATTAGATCAACAGAAAGATACACTTGTGGAGCAACTCGGCGACAAAAATACTATAAAGGAACATGTAAATATTTATCTTTAATCCTACTTATTTCTAATTTTTTATACCCGCTAGTTGTTTGATTTCTCTTCGACGGGGCACTTTTTTAACTTTCGCGTAGTATGATGCGCAAGTGTCGAAGCTGAAAGCCGAGCAGAGTATCATGCAAGAACAGATGACCAGAGATCGCGTGATTGTGGAACGATTGGAGACTCTTTTGGACCAAGCGAGGCAGGAGTCCATCAACGCGCAGGCCACTAATCAGGAGCTGCAAAACGAAATCTCCAGATTAAAACAAAAAGTTTCCGAACTTCAAAATAAACTGTGCGCATCTCATTATATTACGTTCGTATTTTATCTTTATATTATATTTCATGTTTACATTTTCTCTTACAGATCATCAGAATCCGCAGAGCTTAGGCAGTATCAGAATCAAGCGGCGGAATACAGTAAACAGATCAGTGAACTTCGTAGACAGGTCACCAATGAGAGGTTTGACCGTGCGAGAAAGGAAGAACAGAGTCGCAGGTATTTTATTGCCATCACTAAAGATGTCCATGTTTACCTTTTCTCTCTCGTCCGCGCATTTTATATCGAGTATTGTCTACTGTGATTATTTCCAAATTTAGAGATTCTGAAGAGTTCACGATTCAACAAAAACCGCTCCACGATCGCGCTATCCTTCCTCAATCGTATGTTAAACCCTCCAGTGACGAAAATGCCGCCGCCGCGTTCAGGTAGAATCAGCATGACAATGATCGCGTTTGAAACCATGATTGATCAGTGCCAATTACGAATCCGTCAGGCAAACAGACTGGTTGAGGAAACCGTATACCGCGATTCCCAAACACACCTGTGTACGCGAACCCGATCAGGAGGTCGGATCGATGAGTCGCGACGATCGATCCACGTCATTCTCACTCGATTGTCGATGCTCTTCCCTCAGGAAACGCCTTCCTTTCGTTGACTTCGTCCCATGTCCCAGCAAGTTTTCCTCGCGACGCAAGGTCGCCGGCGACACGAATAGAAACTCGAATCTTCCCTAGCAGGAAAGTATCGCGTTATCCCTTATAGTTGATAACGCGATTTTAATGTCGAGACTTTTATAAGGATTGTTAGTTTTTTCGAAATAACTTTTGTTACGTTATATATTTGCATACAAATTTGTAGGAAAAATATATATGAATTTTATCATTTACAAAGATTACCTTTTTGGTACAAAGCGATTCGCTCAATCAAGCGCTATCGATAATAGACGAATTTTTTGACGCGATAGGATAATTATGAAATTGTATACACATATCACTGACGTCTGTATTCTCTGCTTGTTTTTACAGGTCGCTAAATTCGAGTCCAGACAGTTTAAATGTAGATTTAAATGTATTTATATAGAGAATAACTATATATGATATCTCTTGGTCCTATAAGAAATAAGGATAACAATAGAACAGATAAAGATACTGCAAAATACATAAATCGATTTAACATATCGAATGTTGGCAATGTGGATATAATTTGCAGATGCGCAAAGAAAAATGCGTCATGACAATCGTATAAATATTGACGATCGCGATATATATTTTATTAACATAATTCTCTATTTAAAATGTGGATAGAACATCCGTTGATAAATCGCACAACTGAGAAACTAAACCACTTTCGAGCAATGAAAAATGGGATACTATGTGACAGTGGCAGAAACTTTGTGCAAATTGAAATTATGTCATAAGCTTTTATACAGGAAAACATGCAAAGGATCAAACTTGTATGCGAAAGATCAAACAATGCATGTACATATATAAATAAATTAAGAGAAAAGATAATATACAATATCAATAATTTTGACGGTATAAGCAAGAAAAAATGAAAAGATCATTATTCTGATATATATAATTTATCCAATTGTGAAAAATGTTTCGAATATTAAGAATACATGGATTACATTGTATGAATTTGTACTAAAAAAAAAAAAAAAAATTAAACTAAAAGATTTAATCAATAAAAAACATTCGAGTCCAGACAGTTTAAATGTAGATTTAAATGTATTTATATAGAGAATAACTATATATGATATCTCTTGGTCCTATAAGAAATAAGGATAACAATAGAACAGATAAAGATACTGCAAAATACATAAATCGATTTAACATATCGAATGTTGGCAATGTGGATATAATTTGCAGATGCGCAAAGAAAAATGCGTCATGACAATCGTATAAATATTGACGATCGCGATATATATTTTATTAACATAATTCTCTATTTAAAATGTGGATAGAACATCCGTTGATAAATCGCACAACTGAGAAACTAAACCACTTTCGAGCAATGAAAAATGGGATACTATGTGACAGTGGCAGAAACTTTGTGCAAATTGAAATTATGTCATAAGCTTTTATACAGGAAAACATGCAAAGGATCAAACTTGTATGCGAAAGATCAAACAATGCATGTACATATATAAATAAATTAAGAGAAAAGATAATATACAATATCAATAATTTTGACGGTATAAGCAAGAAAAAATGAAAAGATCATTATTCTGATATATATAATTTATCCAATTGTGAAAAATGTTTCGAATATTAAGAATACATGGATTACATTGTAAGAAGTTGTACTAAAAAAAAAAAAAAAAAATTAAACTCAAAGATTTAATCAATAATAAACTCTTAGGATTTTCGAAAGGAATGTACATATATAAAATGTATAAATAGACATTGAGATGTTACATTGAAATACGCTCACATTGAGAAAAAATGTTAGCAAATATTGACAGAGATCAGAGACTACATAAAAGATTTAGAACAAAAGAGCAAAAATTAACTATATTAAACAAGTCTTACATAAAGAGATATGAATGATATAAGTGAAAAGAAATATGATGATATCACAAACAAGTATTTGGCATGCGTTTTTCAAAGAACAAATCATTTCCACGAAAATAAAGTAATTTAACTAAATATCTCTAGCGTCTCTCCAAGAGTACAAATTTGTATATTCTCAACTTTTATATTTTTAAGGTTTTGTACACTCAATTTATATGTCGCAATAAATTTTATACTTTTCACGATTTTTTTCTAACTGAAGTATTATATATATCGTAATTAAATATTAAAAATAAGTGGCACAAATGAAAAATAGATGACACATAATTGTTATACTTATTGTATAGTGTACGTACGTGAAGATGTGTGATAAGGCTTGCGTCGTCTAGTTCTTCTGCCTTTTACCTTCGATAATATTTTTGGGCCATTTACACATTCATTCGCAATACGACGGAGAGAAGGGAAACAACCACACAACACTTTATATATATCTTTCCCATATTCTCCTTCGTATTTAGTAATTTATTATATCGTTTTTTTTTATTCCTTTACACAGATGTTTATTTATGATCTCAATGATCGTACGAAACGGTGAACATGTAAACTAGGTAATTACAAATAATAAAAATAAAAAGCCTCTCACAAGATTTTCGTCCTCCTAAAAACGTTCAGCTATTAAACTTGTTTTTATATATTTATATATAAAATACATAATAGAGGCTCGCACAGGGTCCATTATCATACTTTTATGTTTATCCATAAACGGCCATTTTGTAATATAAGACAATGCCGTTTCTCAACACATTCTCTTCCTCTCTTCACGCCGAACGAGTTAAATTAATTACAAAAATCCGTTCCTTGCAACTTCTACGTCTTGTCACAAACTATTATAATACAAGAATCTTTTCCTTTGTTTCTCTTATATAGACGCGTTAAACTTACAATCTTAAGAAATTTACACAGAGGTTTTAACATCGTGAATGAAATACAGGTATTATGTACAAGTATGTATATTATATATGAATATATATATGTATATATATAATATAATATATTATATAATATT